CACCAAGAGTTAACGTTCCTAGAACTAGAACCAGGACTAAAAACAAGACACCTCAGCAATCATACAGGAAGCGCTTCAGCAGATGAGCAGGCGGATGGACATGTATCTCAACCTACAGTTGAGCCAACAGATGAACCAGAGCCTTTAGATGAAGTTCCTAGACGTTCAGCACGTGCTAGAAAGAAACCTACATGGATGCGATCAGGAGATTTTGTTGTTAAGTCTGCTGTTCCAGTGGTACAGCCTTGGCAGCAGAAAGCTGAGTATATTAGGGATTGTATTGCGAGAGGTGTATTTATTGGATTGGAGAGACAGGCAGGGGAGGCTTTATTGTCAGTGATCACTAAGGATTGATATGGTTTTATAGTATTTTGTGATATTTTTATTTTTTTTACATTAACTTAATGATTGTACTTTAGTTTATTTCAGAATTTTCTCCTTTAAAATGACAGGGACGTCATTTTACATTGAGGGGGAGTATGTGCCAGAGTCATATTTGATTGGTAATCAAATATGATTAGTATTAGTTAATATAGTTTTAGTCATATATTTAGTTACTTTGCTTATTATATTTGATACAGCTATGATTTTCACTCTTTAGTATTCAGTTTCACACTTTCCTTTATTGGACCTCAGTCATTTTCCTGTACTGAACCTCATTCAGTTTTGGAGGGAAAGTACTGGTCATTCTATTGGTCACTTGTGAGTTGTTTAGGTATTCTCTATTGATTCCTTTGTTCCATTTAATTTTCTAGTGATAGTATTGTTACTTACCTGTTTTATTAGCCTTGGTGACATTTTGACAATATTTGATATTGGATATTATATACATATTTCATACTTCTGTTGGAATTCATTATTCATTTCTACAGGTCAGTTATATTCTATTTTCTAACAAGAACTAATATATTGATGTTTTAACATATTGAATAAAAGATGAATGAATGAGTTGAATGAAAGTATATGCAGAGGAAGTGATTAAAATTAATAACACACATATTAAAATATAAACCTTTATTAGTAAAGCATATTTGGTAAATGTCAAATAGAATAAAGCATTTAAAACAGTATATAAACTTCATAGTTTTCTATACATTTAAAAGTACATGAGTACAGAGATCTGATACTAAGATAGACATTTTATTGAGTACATTGTGTTTTGATTAATGTAAGAATAATGTCCAGGTCAGTGGACTTATGAATGTTATATTTATTTTATTCAGATTATGATATTGAATTGGTTTTGATAGAAATCAAGTAGATGGTTCCACGCATGACCCATATACCACAAATATGGTAAGGAATGTGTTACATGTTTTAGTTTGTGATTGTCTTGTCTATTTTGTAACTGTATAGTGTTATAGTGTTTATATGTAATTGTCGGAACACTAACATTGAGATTGCTAGTGCTTATGCTTATTTATAATACTTTAGAGCACATGATTATGAGACGTTATTTGTGCATTTTATTTTAATATAAGAGAAGTAATAGCATTGGAATATGTTTGACTTATTCCCCTTTGTCTATAAGTCTGTTTTATGTTGTTATGTGTTGTCTATGTAATGTGTATTTATTATTGTTATATATGTTGTAGGGTTTAATAATATGCAGTCAGTGTTAATAAAACCACTATAAAGAACCCTAGATAGTCCATTTGTACTTATTGAGCCTTTTGGACCTGCTATATATGTATCTCTGAATCGAATAATTATGAATCGACAGTAGTCTTAAATATTTGTTTTGAATTATGAAGAATTTGAAAAAAAAAAGGAAATGCAACTAGCGTTTGCTATGCTCTTATACAAAACGAAGAAGATTTGTTAAGATTGCTAATGAAGAAATTAACAAACTAAAACTAAAGGGTAATAGTATTGTGGTTGAATGCTGTACATATCATCATACGGCCTTCAACCATGAGCCGAATCCTTACTATAGGGTTAGCTATAATTCTTTTGCCGGCATAATATTCATGTATTCAACTGAGTAGAACAAATTTGTGTTTGCTTTTTCCATTATTGCCATTTTCATAAGTAGTAGTAACGTATATATTCAATACTCTAATTAATACTATGCAGTTTGTTTAATATACAATTAAATTCATTTTGTTTTACAGTATCAAAATGTCCCCCTGTTTGTGCAATATCCTGTCCCTTTGGAAATGTGCTGGATGAAAACTTCTGTCCAACTTGTAAATGCAACACAGGTAATGGGTGTTCTGTTATTGTTTTCAATATGAAAGGAAAGTACGTGATAAAATTCTTATATATGTTAGTATAAAAAGAAAAAAATATATAAATAACACATAGCTGAGAGGGTGATAGAGCAGATTGTTACCCTGAGAAAACATTGTCAACTGAGGCGAAGCCAAGGTTGACAATGTCTTTTCATCTGGTATTTTGAAGTATAATAAATTCGTTTATCACACAGACATGTTGTTTTTTTTCTCGCCCTAATATCGATAAATGTACATTTCATAAATCGAGATAACTTCTACAGGTCAAGCTAGTTCAGTCCTGGTGTCATGTACAGACGAAAAATAAGAAATCAGAGGACCTAGTCGAATATGCGTCCTTATCCTTTGCAATTCACATGACACATATCAAACGAGTTTATTTTCCTGTTTAGGATGTGCCGGTAATGTTAAACCATTGTCGATTACCTGTGGGCCAGGTATACTGAGATGCTCTGGTAATTACCAATGTAATACACCTCCAGGAGGCGGCGACGGAGTGTGCTGTCCTATTAGAACAGGTAACTAACTGTATGTTATATAGAATCAAATATTTATGAATTTGCAATTTATTGTACAGGTGTTCAAGTCATACAAATACTTATGTTCACAGGCTGCAAGACTAACACCACTTTCATCAAATGCTTTTAGTTTAAGTTAAACAGATTTATTGGTCCGCCTAACTAATAATCAACATCATTTTTACAAATATTTCGTGTACTTGTATAAAAAAAGGAACATTTGATAAAATGACTAAAAACAAGATGATTGCGCAATACAGCACCTAGATTACTCATAATCATCAACAATTAAGGTTGTTCGCTACTCTGCTTCAAAATAACAAGCTTTTTAAAAGACTGTTATAAATTGATAGTGTATAAATAAAGAAACTAAAAAAGCAGAAAAAAATTAAGGGTCCGTGTGTTTTTTTCGAGATATAAGCCATTGAAAATTTGGCGGGAAATAATTCTCTCTAGATTTTAATACATTTAACATTGACACCTGTTTTCTTTCAAAAACGATGAAAAAATAACAAGGATTTTATTAAATTTTCAAAGATGGCATTTTAAACTAAATATGTAATCAAATTATGGAAAGAAAAGTAAGGGTAAGTGGGCAAAATTTTTAATGGCACTACATGGATAAAACCAGAGGATTCCGAATATCTGGCAAAAATTCAAAAACAAGAGGAGCGAACATCCTTAATGTTACGCAAGAGATCCCCAAACATTTTTGTTGACCGGTAATTGGATATATGTGGAACATATGTCCACAATTATGTTCAACTTTAACCGCTACTTCGTCTTTTTTCCTTTGACCTTTTCGACTGCGAGTTATCATCGGTTAATGCTATATATTGAGATATCAAAATTTTTGGCCTGTTACACAGCAATGTGCCTGCAATACTTTAAACGTTACATTCATAGACAATTTTTTGGTTTTAAAAAGTAAAATAACAAAAATACCGATCTCCAAGGAAAATTCAAAACGGAAAGTTCCTAATCAAATGGCAAAATCAAAAGCTCAAACAAATCACACGAATAGAAAACAACTGTCATATTCCTGAATTGGTACAGGCATTTCTTTTTGTACAAAATAATGGATTGAACCTGATTTTATAGCTAGCTAAACCTCCCACTTGTATATAATTTACTTTAAACTAGATTTCAGTATATATGAGTACTCTTAAATTCGAACTTTGTGTTTTTTTCTTTAAAAAAATTGTTCATGTGCTTAGTGAAGATCTAATGGCTCAAACACTTTCTTATAACAATTACATGATCGATTCCTTTATTATACCAAAAATGAATTTAAACAATAAATGTCTCTTCAGTGATGCTCTACGTGATTTCTACTCCTTTGCTACACCATCAGTGCATTTAGACATTTACTGTCTTCTTATTGATGCTTCAACTGATTTTTACAGTCTGTCTTAATTCTGTTTCACCCTATTCCAGATTAAGGGAAGTGTTGATGACTCACAAACATGTTTAACTCCGCCAAATTCTTACTAAGCCTGTCCCAAGCGAGGAACCTGACATTTGGTTATTTTTCGTGAGTTTTGCGTTTTGATTGTTTTTTCTTGAGCGACTTATTCGGTTCAATTTTTCACAGAGCATTCCAGTTTTATGACTGATTAACATTTATATTTATTTTTTTAAAGTGGAGGTTATACAAGCAAAACCAAGTAGTTTACGATTGATGACGTCAGAATAAATCATCCTTTCTGTGATTGTTTTTGTAATACATCCATTTGCTGAATACCTCAAAATTGTACCGACAGAAATGTGTCAACAAACTCAATTTTTTCATAGCTCTTAGTAAATAAGATTAATTGTGCCTAATTGAAATACTACGTGAAATTTCATAAAAAAGAGACAGTTGATACTAAAGGGATACTCAAAATGCATTAATTAAAAATAAGTCAACTACACCAGGTCAACAAACTTTAACAAAACGAAAAAAGACGGAAAGACAAACAACAGCTTACAAAACACTACACAGAAAAATATGAAGTGAGCAACACGAATTTCTATAAAAGTTTAAGGATCTACGGTGCGAATACTTTTATTCTTTTATCTTTACGCATAAATCAACTGATTATGACAAGACAGCTAGGCGGCCACTCCTTTGTTTTGACAAAATAAGTAGCTCTAAGGAAGTTTAAATGCAGAATTAGGTTTTCCTAAAACAAACAAATATCTTCTATTGAATTAAAACTTACGATATACCATTTTTATTTATAGATTTAGCTTGTGAAAAAGGAACGCCTCAAGGAACATGTAAAATAGGACCATTTCCCAGTACACCGTGCCCATCGGGAACGTACTGTAAAAATTCTGTCTGCTGTAAAATACGTAAGTAGCAAAATTTGATTAACATGATCATTGAAGACAACAGTTACTATATGAAAGAAATGTAATTACAGATATTGATCATGCGCCGTCCGTAGCGCTTATCCAGTATTAAAAAAAATCTACGACCAGTCTTCGAAGAATAAAAAGATTTCTGGGCGGAAGATAAACGTTGCCTTACGCAATATGCACTTTGAAGTTATATAATCTCCTGCACATACGATTTTTATTGCATTAATGCTATGTATCATTTACAAAATCGCAATATAATCGCAGAAAAAATGTCTTCAATAATTTTATGTAATGTTTAATGAATATGTCGTTCGAAAATGTTCAGTGAAAGTTCAAATTGAAATTCGTTTTCAATGTATCTAAAAATCTGCATTCAGTAAAAATGTATGATTATACGGTATAAATGACTTCAAATAATGTTAGTTAATAAAAAGATGACCAGAAGACACAAAAAAAAGAATAAAAAATTTGCGTTCAAATAACTCAGTACAGTTTACTTGATAAATGAATACGTTACTACGACACATTTTTTATGATACGGTAATTTTGGAACATCATAATTTTATGAAGCAACGTCGTTTTGCGTTTTTAATCACAATTTGCCTATAGTACATAGCGGTTTCAACATACCCGACTGAGTAAAGTAAGTCAGATTTTTTTTATGAACGACATGTATGTAATATTTTTTTAGGAAAAAATGAAATAATTTTTTTCTAAAAAATAATATCGCTTTTTGATGAGCCATTTAAGGTTCATTATCCGACTTTTAATTCAGATACGATCATTATTTGTGTATCATGATTATGGTACAACATTTGTCATTGTCACTTGATTATCATGTTGTTATCTAACAATATAATCGGAAAAGACCTCGTTTATCCTTTCACGAGTTGCTAGAATACTTATCAATGATATTTTTATATTTTATACAAACAAAGCTTGTGATTATGGTGATCCTCATCCAACACGTTTTTGTGGAATGGTTGTCAGTTCCAACAAGTGTCCTACTGGATACCATTGTAAAGGTGGGCCGGCTGATGAATACCATGCTTGTTGTCCGAACGGTAATAATAATTTTGTCTTAAAGTGAAATTTAGTTTACTATTTACCTTTTTCCAAGCAACATTTAGGTAATGCTTATAGATAAGCAATGGGGTTTGATTTCACCAGTAACAGTTAAATTTAAATGTTCTTTTTGTAATGGTTACGAGGACAGTAAAGCCCAATTCTTTTCTCATATGACCGTCATCTGGAAAATGTTTGATGAATTGTACTTGACAAACAGTGACATTTGGTTATAAAACTCTACGTTGGCATTTCGCAGTTCTGACATGACGTGTTACACTAATTAATTGACATTTACTACTTCCAAATTCACATTTTAATTCAGAGCGCTATTTTTCAGTTCAAACTTGTTATTTGTAGTTCTAACTTATCTTTGATCGACACTTCGCTGTTGCAATTTGACTTTTGTCGACTTCAACTAGCTGAAGTTGACATTTCATTTCCAGGTAGACATTTCTCAAATCAAATTTTGAAATGACAATAATTTAGTGAAAAATGATTCTCCGAAACTAGAAATGTCAAGCTTGGATCAGGAAATACCAACATGCAACTATTTGAAAAATGGTAACTTTGAGGTAATACGTGAAAGGAATATTAACATAGAAATGCAAAATGCCAAGTATGAATTCACAAATGTAAGCTTCGAGTAAAAAAATATTAACGACAGAATATTAGTCTTTAGAAATATTTGACTTATAAAATTACCAATCATTTTCAACAATTCAATCATTGTAAATTTGTACATTTAGCTTTTCTTTCATAATTTCTATTTCTATTTAGCTGGTTTTTATACTCAACAAATCGAATGTTGTAGTCATTATAATTGATTATCCAATATTTTACTTGTTTCTAATGTTGTATTCTACTAAGAGGAATATATAAGTTATTTCCATTCTCAATTTTATTATAGTAAATTGTATAATGATGTCGATATCTGTTTCATAATTGTAGCCAAAACAACGAAAATAGGCCTATGCCCAAGGGACAAATACCCACAGACTAAGTGTTACGTTCAAAGAAACTGCAAAAATGACGCATCGTGACCTGGAACAAAGAAATGTTGCAAGCAAGGTTGTCGTTATAAATGTGTATATCCTGTAGACTGATTAATTCAACAGCATTATTGCATAATATGTTGTCATTGATTGAATAAAACTTCTTTTATGCTACTGTTTAAAATATATTTTGCAGACTAATCACAAAACCGTTTCAATCGTTTCTGACTGGGTTTAAAGGGAAAAACATTATTTAGACAATTAACGATTCCTTTTCTGAATAGTTGGTAAAACTCACAAAATATAATCAGATAAAAGAAGCAGCTAGGTGGATGACATATAAGGGACAATAAACATTCATAAGTAGAAGAGAAACCGACAACACCATGGAATAAAAATGAAACAAATGACGAAAATCCCCTAAGGGCAGTTAACAAAGAACTACAAAAACTTAAGGACTGTGCAACCTGGGCCCAACAAAAAACCGGGCTCGATCTAAGATCTGAAGGTAAAAAAGATCCTGTTACACACATGACACATATATATGCTTCCGTTATTTGGCTCAAACTTGTTGAAGTCAAAATCGTGGAAATTTAGACAATAAAAACTTATCTGTGACAAAGATAGCCTACAGTTATCAACCAATTTATGATGGTGATTGTTGAGTATTCGACCACTAGGAGTCCTTAGTTAAGCTTACTTGGTTATAATTCTCCACCAGAGACCAAATGACGTAGAAGTTAACAGCAATATGTCACAGTACTGCTGCAACAATGAGGAAAACCGATACCGCATAGTAAGCTATAAAAGGTATCGATATAACAAAAATAAAGATCGAATTACAGTGTTGAATTGGTTACCTTCAAGTTTATTTAAAGGATCGATAAGTTTACCCGGATCGTATCTGAATTAACGGACTCGGGGAAACAACATTTAATGAAAAATTAGGATGTGCTATCCCGTTTGTATCTAGGAAAAAAAATAGTAAAGGTTTTAAGTCATTGGATGTAATATAATCCTTGACTTTATAAATTACCAGTAATACATATATTACGTCAATTGAAATCCAAAACACTTTCTCATTTCTAAATGTAAAACCAAAAACTGCAAAACCTGTAAATTTTTTATAACAGATCTTCAATTCAATAGCAATTTAGATAAAAACATATTACAGTACAAGGAGCTACAATGATCTAGTTTGTCAATCAACAAATCCCGATTTCGGTTAAGAGTGCAACCTATGCGGATTGATATATATATATATATATATCGGTGACACGCTTAATAAACGTATGTTCGACCATAGATCAGACATTTACAACAATCCAAATGACATTGTTTTCCAGCATTTTAACTAGTTTGAAATTTAATCATATATTTGCAAGTTCGCGTCATCGAAAACATATACCACAAAACTCTCAATCCTATAGGATCTTGAAACACCCCTAAACCTGACCTAAGTACATCCTTAACAGATGACGGCATATATGTTGTGTTTTGAATACTACCATTTGTCTTTTGATCGTCCTTCTTTTTTCCCCATTGCATTGACAGTTTCTTTACGACATATGAGTTTGAATTTTCCTTTGGTATTGTTCGGCTTTCTCTTATATAATGAATATTAAAACAAAACTAATGCATTAGAGCTATATATGTAGGACTCAAATTTATGGTGGGTCCGGATCTATGGCAGATTCCTTATCGATGGTAAAAATGACATCATTCCATCCCAAATCTATGGCAAATTTTAGTTTCCTAATCTATGACAGATTTCAAATCATTGGCGGATTATCTGCAAATGGAGAACCAGTCAGTACATATCTGAATAATGATTTCAAAGTTGCATTAAAGAAGTGGAAATGTCCAAAGGTAACGAAAAATGCAGTATAAGAAAAAACGGATTAGAGGTACGACAACAGGAGCATATCCATAACCATTTGTGAAATGGACTTTCCATAATGGTCAACCAAATCGTGATGACAACCACAAAATGTACTTAGTAAAGAAGTGATATACACTCATACAGGTTTTAGGAATGAAACGATGTTCTCCGGGAGAATAAGCATTTCCTACCATGTCTGTGCATGGTACCTGGTTGACCCTGTCATTTCAGCATGTCCCTTAATAACCCAAAAAGCAGTTTGAATGAAAGGAATTAAACAGTTTGACTTTTTACCTAATATTTATTTGCGCGTTAATACATCTTATTGAACTTATGACGATTTAAATCAAAGTCCTTGCCTCAAACAAATGGCTTTCTTAATAAATCCCAATTTCTCCAACAGTATAGTTATACGACATAAATATAGCTGAACATATTTAAATAGTTATGAGAAATCTATTTCAGAGTTTTTTTTTAGTTTCCAAATCTCAAGAAAGATTATTTGCTACTATATATATAATATAGCTGAAAAAATGTTAGTTTAAACATATTTTATTGTTCAAAATGACAAATGGATAATAAAATATGTTTGAACTTAAATATGTGAAAAATGTTATAGATTAAGTTTAAACAAATTTGAAGAGTACCATATGAATAGAAAAATAACAAGAAAATAGCTTAGCATAGAAATTATGAAAGAGAGAAAAATCATACCAAAGTCAGAGTAAAAACTCGTAAAAATTAAGAGACAAGGCAACACCCGGAACACAGACAAGGATAAGAAAACAAGGAGCGGAAACAAACACGAAACATACACACCAAAACCCAAAAACATATTCATTTGCGTTAAATTGCCTGCATCAGCCATTTTGCTGCTACGAGTGACTGGATTTGTTCGCTAGTATTCTTATATCATCCGCATAAGGGAGCTACCATTTGATTTTTATGGGGGGGGGGGGGGGGGGGGGGAGGGGGATGGGGCTAGGATGAAATTTGAAAAAAATAGGCAGGACAGGAGTTTTGAGTAAAAAAAAGGCAGGATGAGACACTTGCAAAAAAAAAAGTCAAGATGACAATTTAGGTAAAAGAGTCAGGATAAACTTTAAAAAAAGGCAGGACCGAATACAGTGAAAAATAAAAAGGCAGGACAGAATTTTTCATCCTAACCACTTTGCAAACTTATCTCGATTTTTTATGTTCATTGAAGAAAATCATATTTTGGTATTCAGTTCATTATAACAATACAATTATGGCCTTCATGAACATTCAATATCCAAAATGATTAAATCGAGGAAAGGTTATTTTCCTTGAGGTCCGTAGGATTTAATAATTTTGGATTTTGACTTTTTATGAAGGCCATAATTGTGTTGTTATAATGAACTGAATACCAAAATATGATTTTCTTCAATGAACATAAAAAATCGAGATAAGTTTGCAAAGTTACTCTCGAATGTAACTAGAAAAATCAAGATTTCTCATATATCTGTACTTATTGGATACTCATTTCCTTTCGTAAATTTTACGGACGCCAACACGAGTTGGTTGACCGTTATGGAATAACCGTTTCACAGATGATATCGGATATGTTCCTTATGTCGTAATTACAATCCACTTCCTTTTTCACCACGAATATGACCTACCGAATTAGACTTTTTACCGGATTTGTAGTAACATGAGCAACACGACGGGTGCCACATGTGGAGCAGGATCTGCTTACCCTTCCGGAGCACCTGAGATCACCCCCAGTTTTTGGTGGGGTTCGTGTTGCTTAGTCTTTAGTTTTCTATGTTGTGTCTTGTGTACTATCATTTGTCTGTTTGTCTTTTTATTGTTTAGCCATGGCGTTGTCAGTTTATTTTCGATCGTTGAGTTTGGCTGTCCCTCTGGTATCTTTCGCCATTCTTAAGCATATTAACGCAACTTTTGTAGCTTGCTTAATGCTTTTTGAGCCTTTGTGTCTCAAAATATTTTCAACGTCCAGATCCGAAAATGAGCAAAATGTTGAGACGGCCGCCATATTTTCCAGATGTAAACAAACGATATGATGTCACTAGCTAGTTATTATTTTGACTTGCAAATGGGAACCAAAAACAGTTATTTTGACTACACGCATATTCCCAAACAGTTATTTTGCCTACGCGATATCTGCCGCGGGAAAAGGGGGTTATTCTCCTTGAATGAATGAAAAACATACAGTAACATCTTAATTTCTTTATTAGTGGTTGCTATAGTAAAGTATAATAATAGTTATAATTACATACTTTTCAATCACTACTTAAATATTGTTTGGAGGAATAGACTTTCCTTCTCTAATTTGTAATATTTACCAATAATTCATTGGTGCATTGACATTCCTTGTTGTGGTCATTGCTCATGTGTTTCTGTATCATGATGTTACAACTTCTATGAAGCCATAGCCACTGCTACATGTATCCCGGCAGGGCAACATTATTTTATAGAAGAGAAAATTGCTGGTACTTGCCCATCAACTACTCGCATTACCTATAAGTACAGTTGATAGTTATTTTGCTTGTACCTTCTCTATATGTTTTTTTTAAATATAAGACTTAAGCAAAAGTCTTACTCTGTGTATTAATGTATCATATATATGGTTTCTTGTAAATGCAAGTCTATGCAAATGAATTTTTTTTTTGTGTATTTAATTTGGCTCATTTGAAAAAAATATATATATTTTATTTGAGATTCAGAATGACTGCCATGATTTTGAACAGTTCCATAAACTACCTCTACTTCACTTCATATTGAAGTGTCTAGTTGACTTATTTTCTTTCATATTGTTTTGTCTTTTGAAGTCTTTCTCATGTATTGCATACCTTGATTATTTGTTTTTTTTGTTTGTTTTTTTTTTTGTTTTGGGGGGGGGATTGAAACATTTACAGACTGAAACATTGCACAGCTATTCGCCTGTTTGTTATTTTCTGGTCTATTTAAGCAACTTAAAAAGTCTTAAATCTGCTGTAATAATAATTATAATTTAGGTTCATATGACACTTAACCAGAAGAAAAGCAAATGTTTTTAATATTATAAATTATCCAAATGTTTTGGAAGAAGCTAATTATTATAAAAATTCTGTAACATTTATCACTAGTTCAGACAAATAACTTTTTGACGATAAAGTTGTTGATACGAATGTCCATTACGTACTTAATTTATTTCGGTCTCTTCCTTGTGGTGCCATGTTACACTGTCACTTTTA